CGATCACTCGTATCTAGTCTCGTATCTCGGACGAACGTAACTCTTACTGTCTTACAATAGTCTCGTATATAACTACTGAATACTCTTATTATAGCAAAACGTGCACGGAAAATAATCCTACAATATGTTATTCTTTATTTTTTTACGCTCTACAAGTTAGAATATATTTTGTATAATTGCGAGCATTTTAAGGATTAAAATAAATGTAATGTTATTGATTATGTATAATATGTAGAATATTTTTTATCTTTGCTATATTTTTTTTAACGGAAGGATCCCGTTTGTCTGTAAAAAGATTATCAACATAAGCATTATTTGCGCATAGGCATATTATACATGCAGTCATATTGCACAGATACAAGTTACATTGACCATATTATACACACAAATGCACTGCAAACACACGATTATATATATTGCACATATAAAATAGTAAAATTATAGAAACATTTTGTATATATGTATATTATTATTGACTATATAGTAATATAATTGTTTATTTAATATATATTTTATATTTGTTACATTTCTTTTATATTTCAATGTTGTACCGATAATGACACGTGTGCAAAGTGTTACTATTACGACGCTATTGACAATCATTTTGTAAGCAAATAAAACATTTCCTTTGTCTTCTATGATGTTCATTAACTCGGTATTTGCTTCAAAGGCTTAAATTCGTTTTACAGACAGGGATAAATTTTACACGATGTGGCTGAGCAGGGCGAAGTACCAAATCAACCTTCGGCCGAAAGTTCTTTAAATAATCGATGGGTTCCAAGTAGAAATTGTGTACCAGAAGAGCTATCATCGCCTTCATTTCCAGCATAGCAAATCGTTGACCTATAATTTGGTACATATCGTAATCTGTTAATATAACATGATATTACACATCAGCATATAAAAAATACAGCTTACCGATGCAGTTACGTGGTCCTGCACTGAATGGTAAATACGAATAAGGATGACGATGTCGGATCTTTTCAGGCAAAAATCTATCAGGGTCAAATACTTCTGGATTTGACCAAAAATTGGGATCTCTGTGGACTCCGTAAATATTAAGATGCAAGAATGTTCCAGCAGGTACCAAATATGACTCTAAAAAGCATATCATACAACAATTAAAACTTAAAAAAAAATTTAAGCTGTATTAAAACTTTAAAATTGAATATATACATATAATACAACGTAGGAATAGTTGATAGTTGCCTATAGTTTGCAAAATAAAAAAATGTAATGTAATTATTATTCAAATTTTACTAAGCATTACTTGCTTAACATTATTTTCTAAAAATATTGTATGTTGTATTAAGTAGATGAAGCTTTGTATATAAAATTTTGAAAATATTATAGATAAAACTTATCTATAAAAATATACAAATTTTTACATCTTTGAAATATACGGAAATATTGCCTTTTATGCGTATTTGATGACATTATTTAATAATTTATACAAGAAAAAAATTGATTAGATGCATACGTAATTTTACGTCTTCCCCAGCAATTCGTGATATTCCAAATGCGCTAGGATATAAGCGCAATGCTTCCTTTATACATCTCTCCAAATATGGTAGGTCTTGCAATAAGTTCATAGTAAACTTTTGCTCATTCTCTTGCAAGACAGTATTGACTTCGTTCCTGACACGATCCTGTATCATCATTGTTAATTAAAAGGCTTCTCTTGTTATTGTGATGTTTATACGTGGAAACAAATATATATCTAGGAAATATTTATTTTACACATGTTTTGATTAATTCATTTGAAATATGTGTATATAAATTACACTTAAGATATAAAAGAATATTTGAAATATGTGCGTACGCTTAATCGTGTGCGTGCGAATATTTTCTATATACATATATCTATTCCATATCTAAACTAGTAATTCAAAAAAGCAAATTGTTTACATATACACATATACACACTTAAAAAATATTTAAAAAGTTAGATATTTAATTGTCCGTCTGTATACATTTTCTTTGCACCCTCGAAGTGTATACGTGGGTTTATGACGTTCGATGCTATTTTTCTCTAAAGTATTTTAAAAAATTTGAAAAAATTCTTCTTCTATAAAGAAAAGAAGAAAAAATTCAAGAAACTTCTGTCTACACTGTAGTTGAAGATTTTATAATTATTTCAATAAACATCGTTAATTTAATATTTTCTGGAAGGTTCGCAAGTTTTATAGTTGTTGTGAGAGGACTTTGAACGAGCAATATGAGTTCCCGCCCTTTTAGAGGGCAGCTCCCGGTTGGCGGCGCGACTTGGCGCGCCACGCGTGCGTGCGGGCATCAATGGTGCTCACAAGAGCCTCGATCACCGTCGTGTTCAGACGTGTTAAGGTGAAATTTCATGGGCAGTGAAAAGCAGCAGCAAATCGTACTGATTGGCTGCAAAATAGAGAAGTTCTCGAGTTTCTAGAACTTCTCTATTTTGTAGCCAATCAGTACGATCTGCTGCTGCTTTTCACTGCCCATGAAATTTCACCTTTAGGCCTTAAGCAGAATGGCTGTCTTGGCAGTGTTTTATGCCTTAAGTTTTTGTCTTATGTAACTCTGTACAGTATTGTGCGTTACATAAGACAAAGACTCAAGGCATAAAACACTGCCAAGACAGCCATTCTGCTTAGGGCCTTAGTTACGGTTTAAGTTACAGAGTGTGACATACTTATATATAATAAAGACAGTATTCAGAGTGTATAAAGATCAAGATTGTTGTGTTCCCTGCCCATCTCACCACATTTCAAGTCGTCCCTGATTATATTTCCAATAGGTTATGGGTCCAGGGCACGATTTCCCTGTGTGAGGAACATAGCACGAAAGTGTATATACGAAGTGTGTGAGACGCCGGCGAAGGGCATAGAAAGAGATTGAAGCATCTAGAAGATTAGAGGGTAAGTAAATAATATTCCTCGTTGCTGACGAGCAAAACGAGAGAATTCTCAGTTAATAAGAATGTTCGTTCGATAAATACTGTTACAAGGAGATAGATGTTTTTGCCATTTTTCTCGAGAAATAGAAATAGAGGTAATAATGATAATAAGAGAATTAGAGAGTAGATGTGTAAAGTGAAATAAAGAAGTAGAGAATGATGAAGGAAAAAGAGATAGAAAAATGCCGTTTGGTAACAGGCCGGCGACGTGCGCGTGCAAGTCCGATCGTGAACGGCGAGAGTCATTTTTTTTGGCGCGCGGAAGTCCGATCGTGAGAGACGAGAGTCATTTTTTGGCGCCCGGAATTTGTTGCCGGGCGCGCACGAACACATAATCGATTTCAACTAACAAAATGGCATCGATGTAACATTATGATACACGCATAGATGTATGTACATGCGTATATATAAAACTCTATATGAGTTTATATTTATTTGAAATCGTTATGTATCGGATCGGTAATTGAGCATGACTTGCTGTGCGGTGTAGCTTGATTACTGTTTAGGGAAGCCGCGTAAATTTGTATGGGCACCGTGCGTGTGCGTGATCAACCCGAGCTCCCATAGATCTTTTCAGCAGTGCTGGGGATCGCAACGGACAGTGGTGTGCGCGTGCGGATAGCCCTGCAGAGGCGCGTGGTTTTCTCGCTTTGGGGTTATTGTGAATTGCAGTGCGTTCTATATAGCCTCATAAGCATTAAATTTTTATCGCTGAAAGAGATCTAGTGATAGAAATTGTAAATTATTATTTGTCAATACGAATGTTGGTTTATCTTGTCAAAAGAGGAATGCTAATGTTCAATTGAAATTTAAATCCCGATCTAGATGAAAAAAGAGACAGAGAATCTTTCGGTGGAGGAAGAAGGCCAAGATGCGCTGGTCGACTACGACAGCGATAGCAGCATTATCACGGTAATAGAAAGAGAAAAAAATAGCGAGGAGACGGTAAGAAAAGATAGAGAAGAAAAAGATAAAAACGAGAAGACAGTAAGAAAAGATAGAGGTAAGAGAATATTTTTTTTGAAAATAAAGTAGTCCAGAAGAATAATATATATATGCATTCAGAGAAAATAAAAATAGTAATTTCAAAATTCCGTATAGAAGCAAAAAATAAAAAGGAGGAGACGGAAAGAAGAGGTGCAATCCCGAAAAAAAACTTGCCTAAAGTCAGAGAGAATATAGATGTGACCAAAGCATGGGAAGAAAACCGTCCAGTACTGCCAATTGGAACTAAAATATTATATGAAAAGCAAGAAAAATTGGTCGCAAAAATGGATAATTCGATGCAGATGCTGGACAAAGTAATGACGAAGGCCACCGAGATGATGGAGAATATGGTAGAAGTCTCCCGTTTAAAATTAGAGAAAGAAAAAGTAAAACTTAAACGTTTAGAGGCAAGCAATAAAAATACGCAAAATTCAGTAAAGAACAGCACACAAACGTTAAAGAATTAGAAGTAGAGTTTAAAAAGAGAAAGTTAGATGAAACAACAATCTGTTCAGCCGAAAAAGATAGAAGTTTAGAGACAATTAAAAGAACTTTAGAAGTGGAATTAAACAATCAAAGATTGCATATTAGAAGAGAATATAAGCTGACGCAAAAATCCAACTTTGATCTTTGGATGGATTATTTAAAATCCGAGTTAATGAATAACGATTTGTTAGATGTAATAGATTCAAACATTGAAAGTCCAGAAAATCTTTCTGAATTAAAAGTTGCTAAGAGAAAAAGTCTAGTTAGAGATATAATAATTAATCATTTAGATGAAAATTATCATAAAAGGATCTTACATGAAAAAGATCCAAAAGAAATTTTAAAGAAACTAAGAAGATATAAAAAGATTGAAATAAATGTTACTCATGCATCGGTACGAGCTAGATTTTATCAAATCAAAATGAGAAAAGATGAAAAAGTAAGTGATTTTTGCGAACGCTTTGATTCAATAATTAGAAAATATGAATCATGTGAAGATGCGGTAACTCTCACAGAACAAGAGATTAGATCTGCATTTTATCAGGCTGTGTCAATTAATGTACCAAAGCTGAGAAATGTAGATTTGATTAGAAGACAAACTAATCTTAAAGAAATGAACATAGATGAAATAAAATCTTTTATAATGCAGTTAGAGGCAGAGACTAAAAGTAAGATTGAAGAGAAAACAGAGAAACCTGAAATTAGAGTACAGAGGGCTGCCGCAGAAGAAAATACTAGACAGATGAAGTGCTACAGATGCAACCGAATAGGTCATATGGCAAAGAACTGCCCACTAGCGGAGTCAGAGGCCTGGTTCTGTTATTACTGCCAGGAAGTACGAGGTCACAAGGGTGATAATTGTCCGAGTGCCGAAGCCCAGGCGAACAGAGCTAGAAGAAAAAGGGTTTTATTTAAATAAAACCGTTAATAAAAACATAAAGAAAAAGGGTAGATTTGTGCAAAAAGGCACAAAAAGAGTAGATAACAAAGGGAAAATAACCAAGATACAACCAGCTGAGAAACCTATATCAACGAAAACAGCAAATGAAGGAGAATCAGAAGAAGATAAATTATACATGGTTAAATTAATAGAAGATAGAGATAGTTCAAAAGAGGTAACTAATTTTACTGCAGATTCGGGTGCTACGGATCATATTGTGAATAAGAATTTTATTCTGTCAAATTTTGAAAAATGTAAAGATAGAGTTATTAAATGCGTGAATAAAAATGAGCTTGCAAACATTTCAATAGATGGTAAAAGAGATCTTTCGCTAATAACGAATGAAAAAGAAAAGAGAGTCATTAAATTAACAAATGTAATTGCAGCAAAGAAAGTATCCAAAAATTTAAGAAAGTTGGCTGATGCAGGGTTCAGTATTTATTTAGATGATAAAATGTTTAAAGTTTACAATAAACTGACAAATAAAATAGTTTTTAAAGAAATTTACACACAGATGTAGAGCAGAAATTGTTACACATAGTGAGCTTCCTGAACAATCGCAAACAAACATTCAGAGCAATGAATTATCCATTTCGGAGGGAGAATTAGATGAGAAGGATAATGTTGGTTCTGCGATTGGGAGGGAGAATGAAGGAGAGCTCACAAATGTGAACGAAAATATAGAACACAACAATGCTGAACTCGAGCAAGTCATTAAGGTTGTATGACCCGTAAGATCTCTGCCAAAAGTTTAAGAAACGTAACATAAAGCTAATTAGCATATTTAAGAAGATATTCTTTACTGGAAAGTAATATTTATGTTAATATTTTATTAAAATAACGGTTGCCTGTGTTTTTAAGAGCTATAGAGACATTTTTATGCATATTTTCTCGTATGTAAACTTTCACCTTTAATGATTTTTAGAAAGACTGTACCTGACTTGCAACTGACACAAACGAAAATCTGAAAGTGTGAAAATCTTTAAAAAGTAACAAAACATAGTAATTACTGTTTAAAAATACTAATAAAATTATATTATGTCATTTATTTACGTCATTTATTAATAAATTAAATACAATAGCTCTCATAAAACAGTATTTTGATCGCGACAACGTCGCATTTTCTGTAAGTTGGTAGCATTGATCTCACTCGACATCAGCTGCGTGAACGCGAAGTGTGCTCCGAGCACGTGTAATATACAGACGCATCGTTTGAGGTTAGTTTTCGCTTGCGCTACAAAAATGCCAAAAGTAAAACGTTACATGTGCCATGGAATTGTTACAATCATCTGGTATGGTTTCGACTCGTGTCTTCAAATTACGTTTCCCAGTATTATCTGTGCTAACCGTTGATTGTACACTTTTTCAGTGACAACTTTTCCTTTCCACATGTAACGTTTTACTTTCGGCATTTTCGTAGCGCAAGCGAAAACTAATCTCAAACGATGCGTCTGTATATTACACGTGCTCGGAGCACATTTTCGATACACAGAAGGCTCTATTAGAAAAAGTAACGGACCTCTGTAGTATTTGTTATCCTTTACGGAAAGTGACGGAGAGAGAGGTTCTAATGTGACGTCATAGTGCGCTGTTGCCGGATCTCTATACTTACGAGTTCAGCGAGACCAAGCGAGACTGTTCACTGTTTGCTTTTTATTCAATATTTCAGAAAATATCCTCGAAATCATAATTTTTTTGGTTCTAATTTGTTTGTAAGATGTTTATTAATATTTCTGCAAAGTTTTAAAAGGATGCCATATTTTCTTCGATATTAATTTCTCAAATAAAGTTGAAAAAATAGTGAAATTTGATGAATTCCCGTAAGAGCCCATGTTAAATTCAAATTGTTATAACTTTTGAACGGGTCTCGCAAACTTGTTCAAACTTGGCACAATGCTTTATTATTATAATACTCATCACCTGACAAAGTTTGAAGAATTTGGCATTTTTTCTTCTAAGGGGTCATACAACCTTAAGTTAGAGGATATACAGACAATAGAGAATATAGAAGAAATGTGTGAAAGCTCAGTAATTGAAAAAGTAAAGAAATTAGAGAAAATAAATGAGGAGATGTTATGGCATGTTAGGTTAGGTCATGCGTCGTTAAACTATCTAAGACAGCTACAAAAAGTAGAAAAGAAATTAGAGACAGTTAAGTTTGATAACTCCTTATTAGAGTGTGAAGTCTGTATAATGGCAAAGATGGCAAAACTGCCGTTTAAAGAAAACAGAAATAGAGCACAGAGACCACTACAGGTAAAACATACGGACATCATGGTCAAATAAAACCTAAATACTATCCAGGACAAAAGAGGTTTATAATCACCTTAATAGACGACTATTCTAGATTAGCGAAAGCTTACTCTTTGAAGACGAAAGATGAATCGGGAGAGGCTCCCCTGCTAAAAATGACCGATTGAATCCGATTAAAAATTTTGAATCCGCATGAATATGGATTCTTGATCCGGAAATCACGGATTTATAACGATTACACCGACTGAAAACGATTGAAACGGATTGGTATTCAAGGATGTAATTTCAATCAGATTCTATCGATTTGAATTGTTATGATTTTATAACGATTACACTGATTGAAAACGATTGAAACGGATTGGTATTCAAAGATGTAATTTCAATCGGTTCCTATCGGTTTGAATCGTTACACGCAGAAAATTTTTCTCGAAAATACAAGTATACACGAACAAAGTAAATACCATATAAATCTTGCACGGCATATAGTCATAATATGCAAAAGATTTCAAGAAAGTATAGGAAATTTAGAGAGCAAAGAATAAAAATATGGCTGATGGACAAAAAACGAGACGTCTGTTGCAGTCATGGCAAAAACATAAGTTGCTATTATAGGCTATGGCGGTCAGCTGTCCGCCACGAGCGAACTTGAGAACGCTGTAGAAACCCTGCCAAGCTGCCCTAGATATAGAGGTCGATGTTGAATCTCAATCACGCGAGAATATACCGGCGATGCGCCGCGTAGCGGGCGCGAACCGAACCCTTTCGCCGCGCAAGCCCGCGTTGCCGCTCGCGCCGCGCGCCTTCCGTCGTTAGTATAGGACTTTTTTTACTTTTCTTATATTTTCTTGTTATAATCCGAGAGGTAGCGACACAAAAGTGTCAGCGATTTTTTATTAGTCTTGGAACAAAGTAATTTCTCTTGTTTTAATAGTGTTGTTGATGAAATGCAGAGTCTGGCTGCGCTGTCTCGCTGGAATGGGCGT